CTGCAGCAGGATGACGCACAGTGCAAGTTAATTAATAAACACTGAGATATTTAACACTTACTCCCCCCTCCCCACACCCCTGGAATTAACAGCGCAAGTACGTTTTCGGTTTTAACGATTTATAATTTAGATTTTGCCGCCGAAGTGGCTAGTTTATGCACCTCATAACCATATGGATACAGAAAAGGCCCAGGAGCTAGACCCCAAAACGGTTAACAGGATTACATCTGGATTTATATCTACACTTCTCTGTTACAAGCAAATTTATAAAATTTGCTTAATATATCTGGTATCTTATTTTCATTAATAAGATATACTGACATACCACATAGGTTGTATATTGATACCGTCTTCGGGAAAGTGAAAGGTTGAGGAAAGCAGCGCTTGTTTTAGAGTTTTTAATTTCATGTTTTTTCGTGTATCTTGCAGAGGTTTAATTTTTTTTACAGGCTTGTGTTTACTAGAATTTATAATATGAAAAAATTTTAGGTAAATGACACAAGGGCAGCTAATGCGACATTTTATTGTGGCAACGTTTCGCTTGTAGCCTAATAGGCAAAGCTCTCGCTTCACACCCTGAGGGTCCGGGTTCGATTCCCGGCAAGGGGTTTAAACATTGGGCGTGTTTCCTTACACCTGTTCTCCCTGTTCACCCATCAGTAAAATGGGTACCTGGGTGTTAGTCGACTGGTGTGGGTCACAGACTGGGACAAAATTGACTTAATTTGCCCGAAATGCTCTGCATAACAAGGGGCTTCTATCTACCCAGAAGATGGACACTTGTGGGAATAAATTACGTCCGTACTAAAAGACAGAAACCACAAAACAGCATTCTTAGAAAACTTGACAGTCTTGTATAAATGCTGGGAAAATACAATGAGTGGGCCAGATGATGCTGTCTTGACGGACAGTACCTGCAGGAGTAAAGAAATGGAAGTCAGTGTACCGGAGTGACAGAGGTCCTGGTGCTGGGGAAGCAGGTATACACAAAAATATGCAAATTCCAGAGTTACAAAATAGCAGTACCACTAGAGATGGCAAACAAGGGGATGATACTTTGAGGAATAGTGTAGATACACTTCCAGTAAAAACTGGTGAAGGCACCATTGTTTGTGCAGGTGCTGTAGTGAGGAGTCAGAAAAAAAAGCACCAGTAGGGAAAGCAACCACGATAAACTATGGCAAACAAATCAAACCTATGTAAATCTTATGCCTTGGGTATCTGCAACATGGAATGTTTGGAAAAACTGGTGGATGTGCAGTTTTGACCATCCCAGAAAAATTTTCCCGTCACATGACAGCGGAAAATTTGAAACCCTTTTTTTCCTGAAATTTTTTTTTTTTCACCCTGAAGTGTTTTTTGCCCTAGCCCCAAGAAAGACAATTTTTAAAAAAACATATATTGTTGGGAAAAACCACCCTAAAGGGAAAATCTTTAAAAGCTCCTCCCCCAAACCCATTTTGTTTGCTGAGGGTTTTCCCAATTGAAGAAAAAAGTAATATGGAGGAATCTAGCAAAAATGTTTTTAAAAACAGAGATAACCTCTTGGGGGCACCCAAAAGGGAAAATTCACACACATGAGCTATTAAATCCCCTGCCCCAAAAATTCCCCTTAAACCAGAAAATAAAAAGAGCAAAAAAAGGGGCTGGAGAATACATTGGCCCATTTTCACTAACGATAATTTGTTTATAAAATTGAAACCATATAAAAAGACTGATCCAAATATAACAGAGATACAGACATGTATGGGGCAGGGTTTCCTAAAAACCCAAAATTTGGTTGATAAATTTGGGGGAGCTTTCACCAAAATTTTCAATTTTCAAAAACAAAACATAGTGGGATCAAATCAGCCCAATTTTCCAAAAGAAACAAGTGGGAAGATTTTCCTAAACAACATGGACCCAAAAACCTTTTTGCCCTAGAAAGAATTAATTCTGGGGGCACTTGAGGTATGCCGGGGCATTTTCCCCTTTAAGAAAAGGGAAGAGAAGATTTTAAACTAAAAAGGGAGAGAGATCCCCCCCTATATGGCAAAGGGCGAAGAATCACAGAGCTGCTGAAATATGAAGGGAAATGCACTGGGCAGAAAAACAGCAAATATCAAAAACTTAAGTTAAAAGAATCATACAGGAGACAAAAAACTCAGGGAAAACCCAAAAAAACATAATAAAATTGAAAAAAAACCCCCAAATTAATTTTTTCTTTTCCTATGCCAAATTTTAAGGTAAAAAACAACATCCGTATTGGATCCCTGTTTTAAACGGGGAGGGGGCCCTTACAAAGATGAAAAAAAAGGGAAAATTGGCGAGATACAAAAGTCCCAGGTGCTTGGTGTTCAGGGGCCGGGGTTTGAAACCGGGACTAAGAGTCGAAAACCCTAAATAAATTTTTTATGACCGAAAAACTCAGAATTTGGAAAATTAAAAACAGCTCTGAAAATTTCCCTTTAAGAACCACATGATTCAAAAAAGGGAAATAAATGACATGCCCATGCACCTGCCCGAAGCGGTCGGGGAAACCCCCGTGTTCACAAGAACTAAAAGGAACTTTACCCTTCTATGGAGGGGGGAACAGAAACAAAGTCTTTCCCACATACTTAAACAACGAAATACCCCCCGCCCCAAAACAAAGGGGGAAACCCCAAAGGGAAATAGCAAAAAATTTAAAAGGGCCCGGGCCTCATTTTTAAACCACCCAGAGCAACGGGTTTTTGGCAAATCGTCCTGTCTGCCCCAATACTGGTTTACTAGGGGAAAAGGGCCCCTCGGATCCCTTTTGAGGAAAAACCCAAAAGGTATCATGGCGTAAGAGCGCACAAAATGCTTGAAAAGGAATAACGGGGAAATTTGGTATATAGATTTTTAAAAAGCTTCCAAACAAAATAGAAAACAATGAGAAATAGAAAACAGAGAAAAGGGCCCCGAGACGGCAAAACAGTAAAAAAGCTCTGTTCCACAAGGAAACGAAATTGTCCCCCCTTTTTCCTCACCCCTCATGACACTCGGGGGTTTGCAAGACAGTGCCCCTCCATCAAAGACACTGCAAGGACTCCAAGGGGGACATCAACCAAATCTTTAATTGGTCCAGGGAAAAAGAAATTTATAAATTTTAAATGAAGCGAAATTTCTTTTAAAAAGATATCGAAAAATTGAGGAAAATGAAAACTATACCGAATAAAAATAAATTTCAATCTAACAAAAGAGCGAAAAATTTAAGGTGAAGGACCTGGGTTATAATTGTCAGGGATCTGACCTTCAATGGGTCACAACAGTATCTACCACATCGCAAAAAAAATTAAGGGTGGATAATAGAACCTTCAAAAACTAGGGATGCCCCAAACCCCTGAAGTTTCTTCAAAATTTCTTGTTTCCCCTCCAAGGGGGGTGGGGGGGGGGGGGGGGGGGGTACAATAACTGGGGGCCTTTCAAAGGGCCTGAATTTTATTGGGGGGCTTTGAAAGTAAGGAAAATTACGGTACACATAAGTACAATAAAAAAAACATGGAAATTTTGGGGAAAGGTTTAAGTTTCCCTTTACTTGTATTCCCCCCAGAAAACAGGGCGAGAAAAAACACGAAAAATATACACTTGAAAAATCCCCAGAGGGATTTTTTACCCCAAAATTTTCACACGAAAAAAATCCCCCTCCCTCCGGGAAAACAAAAAAACTCGGCGGGGATGCCCAAAGTGACCCCCGGGAAAAGCAGAAGCCCCACGGTACACTGAGGGGCAACACAAAAAGTGTGGGGATCCAAAACTGTTCAACTGCCCCCCACTAAAAGGGGGTATCCAAAAAAATCCCCGGCTGTCTTTAAAAAGGGACTGGACCCGGACCTAAAGTCGTACCTACCCCCGCGCCGGGGCGTACGTCGTTTTGGGTACAGGGCCCAAAAGTAACAGCCTTGGGTTGATTTTGGGGCCCTTTTTCCACTGCGAGGCCCTTTGGGCACAGACCGGGGCCCCGGGGGAACACCCCCCCAAACCCCCTCCGGTAAACTCGCGTATACTCCAAGGTATAGTAGTAAGGGCACTGATGTCCCAAATATGGGGGCGTTTCCTTATACATGTACTTGTAGTAAAATTTTAAAATTTTTTATTTTTTTTTTATTATTATTATTTTTTATTATTATTATTATTTTTTTTTTTTATTTTTTATTATTAAAAATTATTTTTTAAATTTTTTATTATTATTATTATTATTAATTTTTATTTATTTTTATTATTATTATTATTTTTATTATTATTAATTTTTATTATTTTATTATTATTATTTTATTATTATTTTTATTATTATTATTATGTCAAACGGCCCTTTATTTAAAACTCCTGGGGGAGCGAAACGTTTCCAAAAATAAAAACGTCACATTGTTTCACTTGTGCCCCTTTTTTCCCAAAATATTTTTCGGTAAAATTTTTCTAACAATTATTCAGGGCACAAATTTTTTGGTTTTATTTTTGGGCCTCTGTAATTTTCTAGAATTTATTTTGTTGTAAATTTTTTTGTAATTTAAAGGGAATTTCATTTTATTAAAAAAAAAATTTTTACTGGGGGGGGGGGGGGGTTGGGGGGTTTTGGCGTTTAAAATAATAATTTGGGGGGGGGGGGGGTGTAAAAAATTTCGTATTTGGGGAAAAAATGGGGCCCCCTTTTTGGATTTTTGAAAAATTTCTCCTTTTTACTGTGGATTTTGTGTAAAAAAATGTACTCCCATAATTTGGATTTGTGAAAAAAAACTCCATATTGTGGATTTGGGGAAATAATGGGAAAAAAATAACTTAAGGTTTACTCATTTTTTAAATTTTGTTGTTTTTACTCATCATATTGTGTTTTTTTATCTATATTGCGTTGGGGGGGGGGGGGGGGGGGGGGGAATCATATTGTGTTTTTTCACTCATAAAATTGTGTTTTTCACTCATCATATTGTGTTGTTTTACTCATCATATTGTGTTGTTCACTCATCATATTTTTGTTTTTCATCCTTTATATTGTGTTTTTTTCC